GGACCGGAAGTATTTTTGCGCAGAACTGCGTAGGCGGCCTTCGGCTGCGCTTAGGGATTATAACCCTTACTAAGTAGAATTCTCCTTTCTGTGTTGCCGGGAAAAGGGGACCGGAAGTATTTTTGCGCAGAACTGCGTAGGCGGCCTTCGGCTGCGCTTAGGGATTATAACCCTTACTAAGTAGAATTACCCTTTCTGTGTTGCCGGAAAAGAAGGACGGAAGTATTTTTGGGCAGAACTTCTCTCTGCGGAGGCGGCCTTCGGCCGCGCTTAGGGATTATAACCCTTACTAAGTAGAATTCTCCTTTCTGTGTTGCCGGGAAAAGGGGACCGGAAGTATTTTTGCGCAGAACTGCGTAGGCGGCCTTCGGCTGCGCTTAGGGATTATAACCCTTACTAAGTAGAATTACCCTTTCTGTGTTGCCGGAAAAGAAGGACGGAAGTATTTTTGGGCAGAACTTCTCTCTGCGGAGGCGGCCTTCGGCCGCGCTTAGAGATTATAACCCTAACTAAGTAGAATTCTCCTTTCTGTGTTGCCGGAAAAGAAGGGCGGAAGTATTTTTGGGTAGAACTTCTCTCTGCGTAGGCGGCTTTCGGCTGCGCTTAGGGATTAAAACCCTTACTAAGTAGAAGTAAATAATTCATATTAGAAAAAACGAAATTATCCATATGCACACTTTCGTTAGAAAACCGAAATAATGCATATAACAAAAACCGAAATAATGNGGCTACGAGGCCATGTTGCTCCCGAGTTGTTGTGCTCTTCTTAAAGTTATACTTCGTATAGGAGGTTGTGTTTTTTTAAGGCTTCGTTGATGAACTTTATGGTGTTTTCATTACTGCAGTCGAGTGTTTGTTCGAGGTTAGCGTGACTTCCTGAGATGGCGCAATCCTTGAGAACAGTTAGAGTCGTCCAACATTGGGTGCATTCTGGTGATCTGCCGCCGCTAAAATGGTGCCTGGTACTGAAGTTAGTTACACCGACTCTCATTCGTGCTATTTTAATACAGTCGTCCCTAGTGAAGTTTTCGTTATAGTGTGGTCTTTTAAGTTGTGCGTTGTGTGTTTTTAAAAAAGTTCTTGATGTCTGCCACAGAGTATTTTTTATGTTTGCAGCTTCTACTTTGTGGAAATTTTTAATGATTGCGCTTAAACATGGAACTTCCATCATAAGNAAAGTGCTTGATGTCTGCCACACAGTATTTTTTATGTTTGCAGCTTCTACTTTGTGGAAATTTTTAATGATTGCGCTTAAACATGGAACTTCCATTATAAGAGGCATTTTTATAGCTTCCTTGGCTGCTTCGTCCGCTAATTCATTGCCAACTATACCGACGTGTGCTGGGATCCATAGGATCGTTATGCGCGAATTGAGTGTGACTCCGTCTAGAAGGAATCTTCGTGATTCACCGTCGTGTTGTAGTGATTTCACCACGCTAAGGCTATCCGAGCAAATAAGTGCATGTTTCTTTTTGCTCGATGCATGACGAACCGCAAATTTTATAGCTGCTAATTCTGCATTGAAAATGCCGGCGTGAGGTGTTAGAAGAGATTGCCGCACTTTCATATAGGAGTATCCGTTGGCTTGTTGTTCTATGACCGCATAAGGTGCTGTACCATTTAGGAAAGACCCATCCGTAAAGTAGGTGGTCTCAACTGGTATTTTGCTTTTATACTCTAAAAATTTTTTTTTAAAGAAATCAGGACACGTATTGTTTTTATCATGTGAACTAATCGTAGTATCTATCGTTATGTTAGTGCTTGTTGGAATGTTGTTTGTTGGTTTGTTTGGTATTGGAGAGTTAATATTGGTCAGATGTATCAGAATGTGTTGAATGCTTGAAGCGTACGTGTTACTTTTGATGATTCTCTTGTAAGCATTTATATGATACCAGAAAGTGACGTGTAGTGCGTGTGAAGGTGTTGTTATAGATTTAGCTGCTAAATTTAGCGAACTGTTTAGCAGCAAAGACTCAAAATCTTTGTATTGAGCTTCAACGACGAGAGCATCCTTCGGTGTTGGTGTTAGAAGTCCGGATGCCGTTCTGTAACATTTATTTAAGGCTACATCTATTTTTTTAATATTCATTTTTGAGGTCCATCCATAGAGCGTTATGCAGTGCCGCAACACTCCTGTGAGCGAACGACATATTGAGAGTGCAGTACACTCCGAATCGTGGTTCTAGTAAAATCGCAATTTCGCTTCTTGCAGATGTGAAGAGCTTCTATTTTGTCACCAGGTATAACTGCGCCTGTATTTGTTGCCCATTGGTGTATTTTTGCGTCGAGGATATTTAAGCTTCTGCTCACTTCCTCTGCTGTTCCAGAGGCCAGGGCAAAGATATTATCCGCGAAAATACCCATATAATCTATACCGGATTGGTTTACTAACAATTTGGAGAGTGTGTTTGTGTAAATATTAAATAACAGGACCGATAAAGGGGAACTATGAGGTAAATAATTTATATTAGAAAAAACGAAATTAGCCATATGCACACTTTCGTTAGAAAACCGAAATAATGCATATAACAAAAACCGAAATAATGCATGCATGCACAATTTCGGTTCAAAACCGAAATAATGCATATGTGAGAGACGAAGGTATGCATACATGCACAGTTTCGGGTGAAAACCGAAATAATGCATATAACAAAACCCGAAATAATGCATGCATGCACAGTTTCGGTTGAAAACCGAAATAATGCATATGAAAACCCCGAAGTAATGCATACATGCACAGTTTCGGTTGAAAACCGAAATAATGCATATGAGAAACTACCGAAATTATGCATATGCATACTTTCGTTTTAAAAGCGAAATAAGGCATATGAAAAAAAAACGAAGTAATGCACACATGCACAGTTTCGGTTGAAAACCGAAATAATGCATATGGCAAAAACCGAAATAAAGCATACATGCACAGTTTCGGTTAAAACCGAAATAATGTCCAAATGCACAGTTTCCATATGCGCAATTTCGGTGCCCCAAGTTTGGTATCAACTGAAAGAGGACTAAAATAGCTTTAAAACTGAAATATTTAAACGAGGAAAGCCAGCAGAAAGCCAGCTATTGAAAAATATTGAAATAAAAATTGTTTTTAACTACCATAGAACAGACCTTTGGTCAGGTATACGCATTTCTTTTGTATTAAATTATAAAAAAAAAAAATATAAATAGAAGTGGTAGCTTTCGATCGTTATTTCTGTTTATAAGCTATTTAAGTCCTCTTCCATTTGGTACCAAATTCGTTTAATTTGGATAAGCGGTTTGTTTATTATCCGGAAAGACTTTTATTTCGAACTTAAAAAATATCGGGCCAAGTTTTGACTGTATGGAAAAAAATAACTGCTATTTACGGTCCCTGGAATAAATACTTGTGATTATATGNAAAAAATATCGGGCCAAGTTTTGACTGTATGGAAAAAAATAACTGCTATTTACGGTCCCTGGAATAAATACTTGTGATTATATGAGCGGCCTCACACATAAATAAACCGATAACCGAACCGTAATCGGCCGTTGACGTCCGTCGGTGACGATAAATTCAAACATGTTTGTATTTCTCGTCGGATGTCAGGTGAAAAGTACTAAAATGGACTGCGAAAAATTAACTTATTGGGTGCAAAACAAAAAAATTACATATAAAATCACATGTTTAGAGTATGTCTATTCAAATTTATACAAAATATTTCACTGCTTGCAAAATTGAAATGAAAACTAGATTTGTGCGTACAAATATGGTCGGTAAATAATCTGGTTGAGTTTGCGCATCAGTTCGGACGGTCAAATTGTTCGGCCGAAATGGGTCAGCCTATCGGATGTAATGTGCGCCTAGCGTTATACGCGCGCAGCTGTTTTATAAATCTGGTACTTGTTGCCGAAATTCAAGCAATGGCAAAGCTTTGTGTTGCATTTCCAGTACCTTATTTTCTTTTAATTCAAAAAACTCCAACTCTTCTTCGCTTTTTAAAAAGGAGTGTTTCGGATATTGTAAATTCATCCTCAATTATATTACATAAAAAAGGGTTAATGGAGTATGCAAGCGTAAATTTAAATAATTTCAAATCGGCAAATATTTTTTCAAAATCTGCTTTTAAATCATGTTGCAATATTTTTTCTAGCCATGGAAAATAATGAAATATTATTTTTTTGAGATCTTGCATAAAAAGACGTACATACATAGTTTAGTTTCAAAACAAAATATTTTGCGACAAATCAAAAACATTTGTATTCTCTTCTTGTAGAGACAAATTCAAGTTTTGGCAAATGTTCCATCATATCGATAAAGAACATTAGCCAGAAAGTCAATTTCCATTCTCCAATTGTGGGTAATGTTAAAAACACAATGGAAAAGAATGTCCAACAAAGAAAAAGAAATGTGTATTTTAAAAAGTAGAAGGAGCCAAAATGTTCTAAGCAAAGAGAAAGTTAAAAGAGCCGCACTTTGGAAAGCAAAGAGCCGCATTTGGCTCAAAGAACCGCGATTGCAAACCGCTGTTATAAAGTATACTAAAATGTATACATGTATTTTTTGCAAAATATGCAAAACCATGCATTTACTGAAAAATATATGAACTAACGATTGAATACAATTTTAATGAATATTTCATGATTCGTGAGGATAACTAACCATTTACATTTGAAGAAGCCCAATGAAAACATACATCAGATTCCGAGTTCTCATTATCATAAATAAGAAAGAAGGTTTTATATTTTTTTATTTTATAACTTAAGCAACCGCATCGCTAGCAGCGCAGGCTTTCGGCTGATTGGTGAGATGTGATGGGTCAGATACGCGGAAATCTGTAGATTTTGCTAATTTTAACTTCTGTTGCGTCCTTTAACAGTAGGAGGGGATCCAAGTTGTCAAACTGATGATACCTTTGGGAAGCAAGTTCTGGGCACGATACTAGTAGATTATGCACGCTGGCTGTTGCTTGACAGAAGGGGCAGGTGTTGGGTCTAGTGCCTTGTAGTAAGTGCGTGTTAGTAATTATGGTGTCCCCCATTCGGAGACGTGTGTATGCTGTGATATGGTTGGTAGGTACCGATGTAGGGGAAACGGGTTTTGTTCGGCTAGTTAATATCCGAATAATGGTGATTACAGTCCGCCCATTGGTGCATTAACTTCCCAGCAAACACAGTCTCTAACGTAAGAGAAACTTGGATTTCTACATTAGATAACTAGGGTAATTCTCTAATCGTTCTCGAGTCGATGGCGAAATTAGAGAACTACATTAGAATTCGATTCGAGAATGATTAGAGAAACAACGCAAATTCAAATAAATGTAAATAAGAAATATTCCAAATCAATGAATCATACATTATTTTTAACTTCAAATAATTCATTATTATTTTGTTGCAAATACATACATTTAGTACAAATTTTACAAACAACGCATTTTATTTAATAAAGCAAAACAGCAGTTTGAAGAAATTCACATTCGAATCCCATTAGAGATCAACATTAGAATTCGATAATATAATTAATATTTTCTCGAGTCGAGAACTATGTCAAATTTTTGTTGAGATCGCTATGATTCTCGATAGTTTTTTGAGTCGTTCTCTAACGTTTGAGATTGGAGAATGTGGCTAGTTCTCCAATCATTCTCTAATCGATAACTAACCGCAATATTTGCTGGGTTAGCTTACCTCTGTCGATGAATTAAACAGTAAATGTCGCGGGGTAGGATGTGATTGTTGGAGTGATGGAAACATCCCTGGTGACTGTGTCTGCAAGTGTGTTACCCTGGATATCGGAGTGTCCGGGTATCCACATGTGTTTAATATTGCCCTGGTAGGGAATTGCGTGTTTTTTAAAAATGTCGATGATGTAGCTTGATTTGTTGTGGTTTTGGAGGACTTGGAAACAGGACAAGTTATCGGAGCAAATTATGTGCTTACCCCTTGCTTTTGCGAAAGCTTCTATAAATCGGTAAATACCGAAGCTAATTTATTCAAAATTGATTTTTGCAATAATTCTTTAGCAAATAATAGGCTTATAATAAAAGGTTGGAAAATGGGCGGGGTACTTATAACCACATATGTGTATCTCGGTAACCGCTCGATCAATGGGTACCAAACTCGGTATGATTATAGTGGTTGCCAGATAAAAAGGCAAAACGTTGAAAGTTTTGAAATCTCACTAAAATTACTAAATTATTTATTTAACGGTAAATTTCAGAAATGTTTGAAACTTTGGTATTTCGAAATTTAAGGAAGCTAATTTAACCCAAAATTAATACTAACAACAATCCCTTGAAAAGAAGTAATATTATTATGGAATTTTTGGCGTGGTGCCGCCCACATACAGTATTGGACATATCTATAGC